GGAGACAGTTCCGAGCGCCCCTCTTTCAAAAACCTCGCGGGCTAACCGAATTTGAAGGATCTATCCACAGCGGCGGTGCGGCTCTTCGGCGGCGACGCCACACTGACGCACCAATGTTGTCTTTGCGCCTAATACTCAGGTGTGTGTATTTCTCTCTCTTTTACCATTTTTTTATAAATTTTTCCCTCTATTTTTGGGTTATAAATTTCCGATTTGTTGTTGTCTACATATGCATTCAGAGCTTGATTCCATGTAGGAGCGTGGCTTAGAGAAATTTGTTGGCCAATACTTTGAGAATTGTCGGAGACGACTGAAGATGACTGAGACGATTGAAGCAAAGATCGACGATGTCAGGTGGCGCGGCAGCAGGCTGATGGTTCATCGGCGAGATGTCGGGGATAAATCTTACGGAGATTAGCAGATAGATCTACAATGGTTGCGTTTGTACAGAGACGCTGATGAGCGGTGGGCCGAGCCCCAATAGTTCACGAGCGGCGGTCGTCGGGCTAATGTAGGTACATTCGTGGACGACAACAACAGTATCTCTGATGGAGTACTTATCAGGTATGTAAAATTTGTTAGAGAAAGCATAAGATGTCCTCTCCCACACTCATGTTTACTATTGCTACTCCAAATCCGATCTTTTTCTTTTCTTCCTCAGAGCAGCCGCAATTAAAACTATCGACGGCAGTTGGCTTGGCGGATAGAACCCGAATGACGGCGCAACTACACTTCGACGGGAGAAGCGGGCTTGAAGACGATTCAGGCATTTTTATTTAGAAAGAGAAAAAGAGAAAATTGATATTATAACATGTTGGTTGCTTATTTATATAGTATATCACATTCCGTTATTCGTCTTATTCTTTTTACTTTTCTTCTTCTTCTTCAAAGGTGATTTTTAAGGTTCGTCTGATTTTTGGCAGAATAGTCACATTGTACGGTGAAACGTAATCAGCAAGTCCACCCAGGGCTGAAATAACGTCTTGTACCCCATTCTCTTCGTTACAGAAAGCATCGCCCTGTCAATCTACAAATGAGATCCGGATCGCACCCCAGACAACAACACTCGATAACCCAGCTAATGCTTATCTCAATGCCCAACATCGATGTTGAGTTGTCTTGGGATTAAGCAACCTCTTTTATCAGTATACTGGTTGGATTCAATTAGTTGTTTCTGCAATTTTGTTGGCATGTGTGCATAGTTTATTTTTTTGAACCGTTGATTGATTATATATTGTTCGGTTCTACAACTTTTTTAGTTTATAGACTGGACATTAGTCGTGATAAAGACGAGGGTTTAAGACAGATCACGATTATAAAGGATGTAGCTGTTTGAATGATATGAGGATTTCCATGTGGTCATGAAAAAAGAATGAACTTGATGTTGGCCTTATTTTTTCACATTGACTGGGTTGTGCTGTCCTTTTGCTTGGTTAATATATGTTAGCGGCTTATTTAGTTTATTTTAGGCATATGTCTATTGAGATTACCAAAATATTGCTTATAGCTTTACCAACACCTATTCTTCTCGGTGTTATAAAGGTGTAAAAGGTTTAGATGTTCTGCAACCTATCAAGTTTTGAGCATCTAATGTGCAGTCATGTGTTAATTTGGTTTAGGTATTGTTCTGCAGCCTATCAAGTTTTTAATCATTTGATGTGCACTAATGTGTTTGGTTTGCACGAAAGTTGTGAATGTTCATTTACAAACTAACAGTCATTGAGTCACACATAAAAGATGTTGCAGCCACTGCTTCAAGAAAGTTTAAGATTGAGATATTACCAGTTAAGACCAACGTGTAAACTATTTCTGTTGAGAATTTTAATGTAACTCATTTTCTCTTCCCTTCGAGTTTATATTTTACTCTAAAATCGGTTTGGACTACATTTTTATGGTTTCAACATTATGCACCACGGGGATAACCCAAATCGAAAAGAGACTCAACACGTAAGGAATTTTATTTTCAACTCTCTGTTTTTCGTTCCTCTCAATTTCTGAGTTATGTTTCTAAATTTTTGATTTTGATAATTTTTGTTTTGTTCTTTTTATCCTGTGAAGTTTTATTTTATTGGTTTCTCACTTTTATGAGGATGAATTAAGGATGAATTAACAATTCATATGAGTAGACCTTTTTTTCTTGGGTCCTATTTCGGCATTGTTATTCAGTCTTTACATTTTTATGCCAGGCTAAAACTTAAGGCGATACAAGTCAGCCGGAATGATCCCATTGAGGTTGCTTCCATGTAAGTAGTTATCACTATGAAAATATAAATAGAGCACGTTATTAGTCTAAGACAATTAAAATTGTAATATGTACAAACCCACTTACATGTCTGTCAGATTTTTCAAGTTGCCCAATTACTTGGGGATGGATTAAACACAGTATAAGGTTGTCTCTGCAGAACACATTTGACTTTGGATGATGCCTATGTAAATAAGTAACTATGAAATTTTGCAGTAATAAAATCTTTATGAGCCCGAGGAAGAGCCAAGGACAAGCAAAAAATAACCTATGATGGTGATGGTACGTTTGAATAAATATGAATTTGAAGATGTAAAGGGTAAAAGGTCACAACTACTCCATGGACACTATGCATAAATTGAAAAGATGCTTAAGTTTAGTATGCAATGCATAAGAGGCGCGCTTGAGATTTTCTTTAGGCACTTCAAATGATAGCAGCAAAAGTACTGGTGGCTGCTGCTTTAATAAGGATTGATGATGCTATTTAGTAGTCTTGATAATTTTATAGTGATGCTATGAAATTATTCATATAATTTTAGGTGTTGTGCGCAGCCGTTTATCGCAATATGGGGACGAGTGGTTTTCATCACCACCCTACCATGCGGTAGCCGGTAGGTCTTCCCATTTACTGTTGAGGGATGTAATCCATTTAAACTTTGTCAAAATTGACTCAATAAACTTCATTTGTATCAAATGTATAACAATGTTTATATATATATATATATATATTAATAATCATTTCAAGGGACGACAAATTTTGACTAGATTTGAGATTAAATTTGAGTCGGCGTGCACGAAATAACAGTAATATGAGAAAGGGTCCTCAGACATCAACTGAATATGCATATTATATAACAAATGCCACAAGGACATAGCCTCGAAGAAGCTCATGTTAGAGGAGCTGGAAAATGAGTCGAATAAGTCAACCAGGCAGACCTTCGTTTCTTTGAATTTTCACTGCAATTAGTTGGTATATACAATTGC